TATATGGTAGTGAGAGACCGATAAATGCAACAACTGGGTGGAAGAGTTGAAAATCACCGCTCCTGAAGTTTTACGAATCTTGCGTAGATGTCACTAAGTGTCTGTGAATTCGTTTTCGAATTTTTTTTAATGAACTATGCATCAAATACCTCCTCAACCCGAAGGCTTTTCCTCTCAAACCCCCGGAATTCGAATGACTGTTATTTTGAAAGCATCAAAAAAATTTAACTTGATGTGCTTCGAAAGGAAATTGAAGACCTATTGGGCAAATGAGCCCTTATGTTCATGTTCTGCATCCTCATAACTCATTGAATTTTTGTCATCGTTGAGTGCGCGTTAGTGCATATTGTAGAAGATTTATGAGGCTTTTCATGGGGCTTAATGTCATTCCCTCAGCTGAACTGTTCTCCAATGAAATGCTTGTTGTCCCCGGTCCCTTGAAACTTTGCTCGGAAGGTATGAACACGAGACACGAAGCGCGCAATTCTCGAACAGCCGTGCTGGCGATTACCTCTTCGTCGCTCAGATGTCGCGCATGTCTCTTGTCGACCAAAACGGGGTCTCTCTAATACGTTTTCCTCTTTCTTTTCGCCTTTTCCACCAGGATTTGGATGACGGGCGAGACGTGGACGATGGAAGATGCTGGAACAAGCGGAAAATGGACGCCTTCCTCAGTCCCCGCGACGGCGGCGCCGTCATCAAGCGCAGCCGCCTCACGGACGACACGACGGACGCCATCATGGCCTCGCGACTAGACACGTCCGACGGCGGGAGTTGCGAGTCGGACGACGAGGACGAAATGGAACCCGGTGGTGTCGTCGTCGAGGAAACGGAAGACGACGATGACGAGGAAGTGGATGATGATGATGATGACGAGGATGATGAAGAAGTGGACAGTGACGACTATGGCAGCGAAGAGGAGGAGGACGAGTGTGGGATTGGTGGAGGGTCCATGGGGGGTGACCATGACCACCTGCGACACCTGGTGGGCGCGACTGAGTACTCGTCGCTGGACTATGCTAGACCCAGTCCCGTCACCTTTGTGCACCACCACAACCACAACCACCATAATCACCATCATCATCACCACCAACAACAGCAAAACAATCACCAACAACAGCAGCAAAACCACCACCACCACCATCAACAGACAACCAATAAACGATTTGAGGAAGGTGGCAAGTCTTACTTGGAACTGGGGTCTTGCAATTTCCGCCCAACACCACCACCACAACCCGTGGTGGCACCACCACCACCAACACCACCACCACCGCCTCCACAGCCACAACATCAACTCTCTGTGGTACCATTGCGGGTGGAGCCTCGTCCAGCGCCACCTAGCCACCGGCAGAGTCCCTATTCTCATCAAGTGCGTGTTCTTTTTCTCTTATTGGAAAGGAAAAAAAAATTCTCTCTGCTTGATTATATTCAAAGTTACCTTAATTTTTTTTCTGAATTGAAAGAGGTACTGCTTTTATTTTTCTTTTTTGAGTCACATCTTCTGAATTGGATACCGAATGGTTGAGATTTTTGTAACTTCAGTGAGTTTTTACAATAATCTGTCCAAGCTATGAGGCTAGGTTGAGGGTTAATTTGGAATCATTTGTGTTGAATTGAAACCTATCTTGAGAGGTGTGCAGGTGATAGTTTGCATTAGGATAGTTTGCACAGTGATGGTTTATGGCTTAGGTCAGTGTTGGCATTGTCATGAGGTTAGCTGGGATAGTGTTGGTATGGTGTGTAGATGAGTTTTGATAGTGTTGGTTTAGCTGGTAGGTTAGTTTGAATAGTGGTGGCATTGTGGTGAGGTTAACTTGGATAGTGTTGGTATAGTGTGTAGATATCTTGTGAAATTATTGGCTGAGTAGGAATTTTAGTTTGAATAGTGTTGACATTGTAGTGAGGTTAAATGGTACTATTTTGTTGTAGTGTATAGATGAGTTTTGATAGTGTTGGCTAAGTAGGAATCTTAGTTTGAATAGTTCTGGCATTGTGGTAGGTTAACTTGGATAGTGTTGGCATAGTGTGTAGATAAGTTTTGATAGGGTTGTCTTAGTTGGAAGGTTAGTTTGGATAGTGTTGGCATAGTGTGTAGATAAGTTTTGATAGGGTTGTCTTAGTTGGAAGGTTAGTTTGGATTGTGTTGGCATTGTGGTGAGTTTAACTTGGATAGTGTTGGCATATTGTGTAGATACATTTTGATAGTGTTGGCATATTGTGTAGATACATTTTGATAGTGTTGGCTTAGTTGAAAGGTTAGTTAGAGTAGTGTAGGCACAGTGGAAAGGTCAGTCTGGATAGTGTTGGCATATTGTGGATTATTTTGGGCCTGTGCTGATCATGTTGCTTGTGTATACAGTATAGCCTTTAATTGGTCTGCATTAGGATATTTTATCTTGATTGAGAGTCTGTTTGGTTTAGGATAGGTTATCTTAGACTGAGGTGTGCTGTGATGAAAGCAAAGACAATTTTGCCCATGGTCAGATTGCATTGAGGAAGGTTATTCATGATTGGGTCAAATTTAATCTATTCTGCATGGTAAAATGAAATTTGTATTGCAATATTCCCAAATTGGATTAGTTTGTGTTAGTCAGTTAGTTCAAATCTAACTAACATGGAGGGTTTTGTTAGTAGTACAGTAGTTAAATGGATATTTCATGCCTTTTTGGTTGACTATACATATTGACTTGTCAGGTGAGGGATAAATATAGTGTCATGCAACTGCAGAAATCAGGTTCCCACAATTACTTGCCAATTATTTTGCTGAGTTACAATTCATTAAACAATCAATTTTGAATAATGAGTTCATTTTGAAGTTGCAAGGTGTTCTATTTTGAGGAAAGGAGAATGGAATGTTTGGGGCAGCTGAAACTCTTTTGGTCTGCGTCACACCCTGTAAAAAAATACTCAACTTTTGAGAAGTCCAATATGGAATGTGACAAGTTTAGTATGGCCCTGGACAGGCTTTAATCTTACCTGGACCAAATGATGAGATTTCAAGATATTTTCCTGAATAATTTTGGGACACACACAGTGGATGTTAATGATGTACTAATGTAGTCTTTTTTTCTTTTCTTGTTGTTGTTGCAGAGGTTGATAGTGCTCAATATGTCCATGTGCAAACTGAACAAGTACCTGAGCCTGCACAAGTCAGTGCTAATCTGCAACACAATGAGGTCCATAGAGAAGGAGATGGAGCAGGAGGGAGTGAGACTGGGTGGAGCAGGGGCACCAGTGGCACCACCCCTGGTGGAACCCTTGCCTGCACCACCTTCACCCATGCCTGTGGCCAGTGAGTGCTGGCCAGCACCCAACCACAACAACCACCACCACCACCATCATCATCATCCCCACCACAACCACCATCATCCCCACCATCACCACCACCACCACCACCACCTGCACCAAATGGAGCAGCAACACCAGCAGGATGGGGTGGACTGTTGGGGAGGGGTCATGGTGGACCCTGTGCCCAAGTCAGAAGGCATTTTTGCTGAAGACTTTCGCCATTTCATGCAAGTGCTGGTGGAGACCTGAGCAGTCCTCACACTCCCTGGGTCATCACAGCCACCACTTTGTTCTTATAATTTAAACAAAAAGTCCATTTCTTGCCCCCCTCTTTTTTTTTGTTGAGAAGGGAAACATTCAGCAAATATTTTTTTTTCCACCAGCAGTACAAAGCAGGCTGTTTTGCCCAGGGAGTGCCTCAGACAAGGGACACTTGGCTGTGACTTGGGACAAACAGTGGGGGTTTTTATTTTCTGTTTGGGGGGGATGGAGGTGAAGGGGACAGAAGAAGGGTGTACAGAACCCAGAATTGGTTCCTTCAGTTGTATTTAGGAGGGTCTGGGGATCCTCTTCAAGAAAGTGCATGCAAGTTGTGTGTGGATGTGGAGATATTTTGTGTCAAGAGAAGAGAATGGGGGGGGAGGGGGAGGTTTTTATATTTTTTCCCCAAATGATCTCAGGAAACAAAAAGAGGATGAAGGGAAATTTTTTTTTTTGTCAGAGTAGCAATAAGTTGATTGCTAGCTGTGCTGATCTGAATGACTCTTGCCCAAGAAAAAGAAAAGGCTCGAGTGGAATTGTGAATGCGGAAAAAAAATCACACAAATGAAAAAAAAAATTGGTGTTTTTCATTTCCATACTTTATTTCAAAGCATTCTCAAGAATGTACAGGGTGGTCAAGAAAAAATAGCATTATTTCAACATCTAAAAAGACTGAAGAAATTGATATAAAATTCAAGCTCAGCTGATGTGAGTTTGAAAATACTCAAGTTTAATTCAATTAATTTTCAGCAGCATTCAGCATTTATGCTGGATTGTCACATTCAGATTTTTTTTAGCCTCCCAAAAATATAAACCGAAGTGTGGTTTGAATCATCCTTGATGTAAAAACTTAATTCCTGGAAATTTTGATGAGTCATGCTTGAGTCACATTCTGGAAAGTTGTGAAGAAACTTTTTGGAGAAACTTCAGAGAGTAAAAACCCTGAGTTCTTCTTGAAAATTGACTTTTTGAAATCCCTAACTTGAGGGACAAACAAGAGCACATAAAAAACAATTCATTTTGAGCCCTACATTTAAAAATACTGTGCCTAATTTTTAAAATATAAGTTTATATGATTTAGAACAGTGAATAAGTTCTTATAAGAAAGTTCAGCTCAAAAAACAAGGTGAGCATATTACCAAAGTCTGTGTGGAACAGTTCACATAACTGTTTTAAGAGAAGCCTTTTTCTGCTGCTCTAAACTTGAATCACCATATTTAAAAATGCATTGATTAGAGATGCCTTCTTAAATTTCAACTCTATTTTACTGTAGTTCTTGGCAATGAATGTATTCCATTGATCAGGTTTTCATTTTAGGTGCATCGGATGAAAAAGTTGGGATCATGTGAGCTTCATAGACTTTGTATCTTGTGATCTTGTCAATAGTAATCATGAATCAAATGATCATAGTGGAATTTATTTTCATTTTCAACTTTAGAACACAGGAACTAATAATAGTAATAATATTCTTCAGCACCACCTTCATGATCAACCAGTGGCCACACAGAACCAGGTCTGGTGAGTTGCTTGGTGTTCCTAGCATACAGAAAGGTTGTGAACCCCAGCACAATGAGGGTCAGGCCAGAAGGCAGGTAGTGAAGTTCTCCTGTTTTGTCATCCATTCTCACCTGGGCATAGCCAATGATCTGCATGAAGCAGCAAGCCATGGGAATGAACATCCTGAGGAAAAAAAAAGATACCCTCAGGAGTCATACTGAACAAATTCATATGGTTCAAGGCACCATCACTGACTTTTTCTTCCAGAACATCATCAGGTTGGCCCAGTTGCACATGAAGACAGTTAAAGCCATTTCAACATTGCACATCTCAAACCTGGCCTCAGTGAACATGGTCCACAAACCAAGGGGTGTCATGCAGAAGCCCAGAAATGTCCTGGTCATCTCCCAGGGGGCACCACCAGCCATGTAGACATCCACAGTGTTGGCAGGCAGACCAATCACACTCAAACCCAGAGTGGTCAGTGTAATTGGATAAGACAGTGCCACCATTGGCACTACATGCAGAAAATACATGGTTGGTTGGTTGGTTGGTCAATATATAAAGGCATGGCTCAAAAATAAGTTCTGTCTCTCTCACAGTGTCTTGGTATGGCAAGCAGGCCAGTGATGGCCACCAGGGCACAATAGAGTTGAGTGCCCAAGCAGTCATCCTTGGGTTCTCTGTCCTCCTCCACCTCACCTCTGCCCTTCCTAAAGTGCTCTATGACAAAGAGGTAGCCCAAGGCTGCCAGGATGAGGCACACTGCCCCCATGGCCACACAGCCCATCTTTGGCTCCTCCTTCTTCTTCTCCTTCTTCTTCTTCCTCCTGGACCTCCCCATCTTATTGGCAGCTTATGACTCACACAAGGAATTTTCAAGAGAGCATGGATTAAAACACTCAAGAGAGAGGGAGAGAGAGAGTAAGCAGTGTGGTTCTCACTGAAAAGTACTGTACATTGCCCTGTCCAAAGCAAGGGGGAGGACCTTCATAATGTTTCATAAAACACTGTGTATATACCTTATTATCTTTTGCAGAAAAACCACCCTGCATTTCAGCATCATTTGAGAAACATTTGATGAATCATCATCCAAGCAATAGGGCAAGTAAGGCAAAACTCAACCATGATGACATATCACTGAAGAGTGCAGGGCTTCCATTGATTCTGGATATGGACAGTGGCCTTTGATGTCCATTACAGAGCTCTTCCTCACATGCACAAATCAAAAGGCCTGTGGGAGAGCAACTTGAATTAATAAGCACACTTCCTGTGACATTTTGTTGGACCCACCTTGAAGAAAGAAGCAGCCTTTGGGTGTGAACCTTCTCAAACAACCTCTTGTGATATCACCTGATGCACATTAAAGAGTCATTATTCTACTGATCAAGTCATCATGACCAATATTCAAATCATACTTATTACCATTAGAGTGAAACACTGTTCCACAGAAGGCAGTACAACCTTTCATGTACCCAAGGTAAGCAGAACTGAGTTCCCCCATATTATAGTAGCACAACACCCCATGAGTGCCTGTGATGAGGATGAGTATAATCAAAATGATTGACTTGAATAAAAAAAGGAAAGTCTTACTGTTGGTAACCATGAACAAGACCAGCAGAAAAAACACAAGCTTGGCCATGATTTGAAGGTCTGCAGCTTTGCAATGCTTGACCCACTGTTCAGCTCTCTGTTACACAAGGCTGAGGTACAGTAGCACAGTATATCATCTGCAAAAAAAGGAAACTCAAGTCAGAAAAGTTGTTTTTCTAGTGTTTGATTAAATATGAGAAAGCAACTTGCAAGTTTCCACTTTGCAGTTCCCTGGCAACACTGGAGCAGTCTTGCTATTCTTTGCTTTAAGGGATTTATTAAAACCAATCAGAACAAATAATGTGGGGAAATGTGAATCACTGACCATAAAATTTATGGAATGTGAAGCAAGTCCCCCTGGCTCTGAGTTTGTCAAACTCTTTTCTGGTTGCAGCTTTCAAACATCCCCTGCACACAACATCTGTGGTAAATATATACAGATACTAGTCTTGGACAATGTCTGGTTGAAATGGTTGTTCAAATCACCCACCCTGATTTCTGAACAGGAGGAAGCAGTAACCTGGGCATGTGCCTCTGAATCCATGGTACCTAGTTACCCTGGCATGAAAACACTGAGTTTCTGGTACCAGTCTCTCATCTGTGTGGAACAATAAAATGTAGAATATTATAAAGCTTGGTGGAGATATCACTGTATTACTCACCAGCATCAGTTTCTGAAACTTTCACAATATCTGCACCTTCTGTAACTCTCTGATGGAATAACAATACAAGAACAATAAGGTGAAGGATCAGTGATGATGGAACCATCTTTTGTTGCCACCCTGCTGAGGAATGAACTGCATTCAGACAAGTATATTGATGAAGGTGACTCAAGAAGGTCAATCAATTTTTGTTTTATTATTCATATGTTTAATAATGGAGGATCACTGGTGTGTATTTTTCCCTGCACACTGTGATGGTCCCTGTGGATGGACACATGCCACAATGAAAAGGTCAGATTTGAGGTGGTCATTTATTAATTCACTCTTCTTCATCAGGGCATTGGAAATACTCATGTATTCCTGAATAAGAACTTGTCTTTCTTGTTGGTCTGATGATGAATTTCTCCCTTGGTGTTGTTGTGGTCCTTTTTGTGTAATACCTGCTGTTACCATAACTGCTGGGTGAGGTGGTCAATGTATACCTGCATGCTTTAATGTACCTGTACTTGGAGGTGGTTCTTTGTGGTGTTTTGCTTGTGGTCTCTGCACCATGACCTGATGATGAGCCTGTCACTGTGTGGGTCTTACTTGGTCTGAACTTGTGTGTCCTACTGAACTTGGATGTAGTGTGAGAAGTGCCTTCCTCTGGTTCATGATCATCAGGTCCATTTTGAGACTGGACCTGAGCTTTGGTTCTCTGTCCAGGCCATGGCTTTTGTGTAAGACCCTTGGCCACTGCTGCCTCTGGTGGGAAACTGACAAAATGGGCCTTTACCTTTGGGTCACTAATCTGGTTGCTAAGGAAAGTTGGGAGAGTTGTTTTGGCCAAGCTTGGGCTCTTTGTAAAGGAAACTGCTGTGGAGTTTCTCATTTTGAAAAGAATGAATGTACCTGGCCCACTACTGGTAGTGGTCCTTCTTGTGTGTGTCTCAGTAGGATGAGTTGTCTTCTTTGTGACTGATGTCACCTTTTTAGTCTTAACTTTGGATGGAGGCAAAGAAGTGGTTGTCTCAGGGTTTGACCATGTAGTGATGGAGCTGGTTTCAAATGGTTGGAAATGGGATGGTCTGTTGGTCTTTGTGGGCATGGTCAAGATTTCCTCTCTGCTGGTGTGGTCCTCATAGACAGTTTCAGCAATGTGAACATTGTAGCCCTGGAATGGAACAGATGTCACTGGTACAAACAAAAGGTGAGGAGGAGTAAATATTCTTTGCTGGAGATCAGCAGTGGTTTGTGGCTTTCTGGTTTTGGTAGTGGGTTTGGCAGTGGTTTTGGTAGTGGTAGTGGTAGTGGTAGTGGTTGTGCTGGTGGTTCTGGAGGTGGTGCTTGAACCTAATGTTGTCCATTCAAATGGTCCAGCATTTGGCTCAGTACTGGATGTTTCAGTACTTATTTTGGACAGTTTCTCAAACATTTGGTCCACTTTAGTCAAAATCCTCTTCAACTCAGCATCTCTGGTATCCTGAACATTTTGTGCATCAGAAAAGGCAGGAGGTGGAGGCAATTCCTCCAGTTGGTAATCATCATCTGTGTATTGCTGCATCTGAGGGTAGTCTTCCTGGATGATGGGAGACATGTTGTCTTCTCTTATTCCATTAGAGCCTGATGACAGCAGGTATTCATACAATTTATCAGCAGAAACTGGGTCTTCCAATATGTGTCCAACTCCAAAGGTGGAACACTTATTTGTAGGGTTGTCTCTGGTGATCCTTGGGTGAGAAAAATGTTTTCTGAAATATATGTCAAACAAAGTGAGTCAAGTTGAAAGAAAAGAGAGTCACCTTACACTGTACAATAAATGAATGGATGAAACATACCTGTGATTGTTTGGATGGTAAAATAGGTTTTTTGGCTCATGTTGCAATGCATGCAAGTGATTCATCCACTGCATAAAGTCAGCCACATTTTGTGGATCTTTGGAATGCTGGAAACTGCTTCTTAGTTTGTGCTGGTCATAACCAGGATGGTATCTTTGATCAAACACAGGGTAATTGAATCTTGATGGAGACTTTGTCCACTGGAACCTCAAAATCTTTGGTCTTGATGCTTTGTCCTGGACACACCAGAGACAATACATTTTGCAATTCAGTGAAGCCTTATTCTCATCAAAACAAACAAAGGAATAAATGTGCTTAAACAGTTGAAGGTCTACAATAAAATTCCTTCAAATTGTCATGAAATAATTATCTTGAAAGCAGGGATGTACATGTTCTTAAGAATGTTTTCTTTTGAGTTTATAGTACTCATTTTTCTGCAAATGAAGTGTTGACTTGAAATTGAGAATCACAATTTTGAATTTCCAAGAGTAAAGGACTGAAAATTGTGGCACCAACTTTTTGTGAAATTGATACTGCTAAACTACACTTGTGCAATTTAATGAAAAAATGTGCATATTCTTGCTGTTGGAAAACAAAACAAAGCAACAGATTCCAATTGAATGCAAATGTCTTCAGAGATACTGTATAAATAAACAGCTTATATTCACTCTTTGTCTCTTTGGGCTCTTCTTTTTGAAGTCATGTTTACTCCACAGCTTTTCCTTGCCATACATGGACACAAGACTGACAGCTTTGGACATACTCCTCTTCCTCTGACATTGGTCCTGTTGCTGTTCAATATTGGGACCTTGTCTTATTGATGGTTGGGACACCATGAACTCATTGGCAACCTTGCACTCTGATGAGTCTTCTCCACTTTGACTCTTGCATGGCTTTGACTTCAAGGTTCTAATCAGAGAAGCATGCAAGAAGCAGAAGAGCTCATCCAACAAGGGATTCCTGTGGGGACACATTCAAATACAATAACATTAATGAAGTGAGGGTAAAGTGATGGTCAAGTATGTTATTTTGTACCTGGTACCATTGACTGGTTTGGTCTTGGCACCTCTCCTGCACCTATTGCCCCTTGATGATTGTCTGGTGATGATGGTGGACACCCTGCTGGTGTGCTGCTTGCTAAAGTGTCCATTGGAAGGTGCTTTGGACTCTTTCTGGGTCTCCTTATTATTCATGCTTGTAGCAAAAGACATGTCTGCTGAAAGCTTATTGCGCTTGGATGCAGCTGCTGGTTTCAGTAGCACAGGTCTTTTACTGTAGGGCTTCCTGCTGATGTCCACAGCAGCAGAGAAAGGCACAGCACATGTCCTCATCCTTGGGTCTGGGTTGCCAAGTGCTGGTTGTACATCATGGTCAAAGTCATGCTGGTCTACAAGGTGTGCTGAAGCTGCATTCAGAGTTTCCAGCTTTGAAACAGTCTGCTCTACCTCTTTCTGGCTTATGAAGCTTTCTCCTGTTCACAGGGGGGGTGGTTGGTAACACTCAACAAAAAATGCCATAGCACCATCAGCAAAGACACACAGAAAAAAAAAGTACCATTTTTCTTTTGTAGAGCAGGCAGAGCACCAGAGGAAACCACTTTGAGACAAATGACAGCCCAGAGAAACTCCATGCTTAAAATCATGGCTGCTTATTGGAAATCTGGGTACACATGCACATTGACATGTTTTTGCACCCTGTCCTTTTGAGGGGGGAATGATAAAGTGGAAGCTGGTGCTGGCCCTGCTCTGTGCTCAACTCCTTGTGTTTGGCATCCAGCCTTTGTGCCTCAGCAGTGGGGAACAGAAATAAAGTTTCCCACAGCACTTTTGGAGCATTTTCTGCTTCCTTTTTCTCTGATGCTGAGCAGCATAGTGTGCTGATGGTTATTTATAGAGTCTCAGATAGTGTGAGGGAGTGCCAATAAAAAACAACACCCAGTGGCTATGTGTTGCAAATGGGGATTCCCCAATGTATTTCTCTGCCATTTGGAATAGCAAAATTGGACACATAACACAAATTATTTGTGTTATGTGTCCAATTTTGCTATTCCAAATGGCAGCGAAATACATTGGGGCATCCCCATTTGCAACACATAGCCACTGGGTGTTGTTTTTTATTGGCACTCCCTCACACTATCTGAGACTCTTGTGCTTTTTTGGGCTGAATGTCCAACTTGACATGCAAGTGAGCCTCCAGGTTGTCAAATTTGAGCTTCTCCTTCATGTGATGGTTCACCTGGCCCTTGTTGGCAAAATGATACAGTCCTCTGTCCATGATTTGGTCCATGTGCTGGACATGGGGGATTGGAGGCAAATGTGTGGTGGTGCTGCTGCTGCTGATGGTGATTGGTTGTGCTGTGAGGTCAACTTGGATGGGTTCTTGCTGGTGCAGGTTTTGTTGCCAATCATTCTCAAGAAAGTCAGCATACATGTGTGACCCCTGATGGTGATCATGCACTCCAAATTGAGGGTGTTGGACCAATTGACTGTTATTGATGATGGGTGGCTCCTTCTTGGCCTGCTGGTCATCTGCTGCTGCTGCTGGGGATGGATCTTGTTCAACCATGGTCACTGTGTCTCTCTCAGTGTGGTAAGAGTTGTCCACCAAGTTTAAAGACCCATGCTGGTCAATGCTCCAGTCTGGGACTGGGGTTTCTGGTGATGGTGTCTCAGCAGAAGTCAGCATTTGTCCAGAATCAAAACAGCAAGGCAGATCTGCTGGTAATTCCATGGCCTCTGGCAACAGACATTCCAGGAGTTTCCCCACCTTTTTGATAACTCTGTGCTTGTCAGGTACCCCAATCTTGAGCTGCTCAGACAGACTGTCTTTCTCAATCTCAAATAGCCATCTCTGAAGGGAATTCAGGTCTTTGGGGACTTTGTACTTGGAGGGAGTGCTTGAGGGTGCCTTATAATAATTATTATTATTGTTGCTGTTTTCCAGCACAGGGCAGGCTTCAATAACTTCACCTGACTTATTACAGTCTGTTGAGATCTTCCACAGGTTCCTTATGTGGTTGGTATGCCTAGAATTTGGTATCAGGAGCTTGCTGGTGCCTGCATGTGCATATATATATATATATATACAATGAAGGCAAATGCTCCCAAAGAACTGCCAGAAAGGTATGAACAACTTACCAGACAATGAGCATGGCTCTTCAAGAACTCCTTTGATGGTTTTAAATGTCCCCATGACACCTGCAGTTGTAAGGAGCCACAAGTTGAATATTAGTGTTGTCATGACCATTTTAGAACAAGTCCAAGAGCACCAGAAAATCCCAGAACACCCTCAAGGATACACACTCCTGGTTGGAGTGAGGAAGGATTACATTTTTCAATTGCAGCTTGAGAGAAAAAAATGATGCAAAAGTTTGCACAGTTGGGGAAAAATTATATTTCCTTCTCCAGCATGGCCAATATCATCCATATGGTAGTGTGTTGGACAAGTTTGATGTGTGTCCTAAAAGTTTTCAACACATCATATATGGGAAAGGCATGAAATTTTTTCCATCATTACAATAAATCCATTCAATGATTATTTGAAACAAACATATACAGTGGACCCTTGGTTATAATTGATTAATTTGGTCCCAGACAAAAGCTTGTTAACCAAAATTTGATTTTCCCATAGATTTCAATGGGGATGAATTTAATCCCTTCCATGAACCCAAAAGACAATTGAATATTGAATATAAAAACAATTCATAAATTGTTGCTGCATTAAACTAATGAAAAGAGCAGCAAAAAAGCTTCACATCCCAGAGAAAGAAAAACCATGATGGATAAAAGCCAAGCATAAATGAAATTTATCTTTTTAATGCTGAAAGATAAGATCAACTAGACCTTTCCAACAATTGAACAACTAGAATCACCAATCACAGGAAACCAATTAATTCTGCCACAGATGAACCTATGAATAATAATGTAGCTTAAACATTAAATTAAATTGCCAGGAGGAAACAATTTACACATCAGTGCACAGGTGAATTATTTGCACTTTGGTTGTACCAGCACATGTTTGAGCATCACAATCAAATGTTGAAAGCTCAAATTTGGAAATTTCCCCCCAGAAAAAAGTTAATTAGCTAAGCAGTTTGTTAACTGAGGGTCCATTGTAATTGTTATTTTCTTCTCCTACTGGCCAATATCATCCATGGGAGTCTTATGTGGTGTGTTGGACAAGTATTAGATTTGTGTCCTGAAAGTATCAATATACACAGCATAAGGGGAAGTTATGCAATTTTCCCCATCATTAGAATAAGTCCATTTAATGCTTATTTGAAACAAACATAATTGTTGCACCATGGCACAGGATCAGCAGCAGACTGAGACTTGGCCTTCATGACTTGTCCTCCATTGCAGTTGTAAGGAGCCACAAGTTGAATATTAGTGTTGTCATGACCATTTTAGAACAAGTCCAAGAGCACCAGAAAATCCCAGAACACCCTCAAGGATACACACTCCTGGTTGGAGTGAGGAAGGATTACATTTTTCAATTGCAGCTTGAGAGAAAAAAATGATGCAAAAGTTTGCACAGTTGGGGAAAAATTATATTTCCTTCTCCAGCATGGCCAATACATATGGTAGTGTGTTGGACAAGTTTGATGTGTGTCCTAAAAGTTTTCAACACATCATATATATGGGAAAGGCATGAAATTGTTTCCACCATTACAATAAATCCATTCAATGATTATTTGAAACAAACATATACAGTGGACCCTTGGTTAATTCATTAAATTGGTCCCAGACAAAAGTTTGTTAACCAAAATTTTGATTTTCCCACAGATTTAGATGGGGAAGAATTTAATCCATTCTGAGAACCCAAAAGACAATTGAATATTGAATATAAAAACAATTCATAAATTGTTGCTGCATTAAACTAGTGAAAAGAGCAACAAAAAAGCTTCACATCACAGAGAAAAAAAAAACCATGATGGATAAAAGTCAAGCATAAATGAAATTTAGCTTTTTAATGCTGAAAGATAAGATCAAATAGACCTTTCCAACAATTGAACAACTAGAATCACCAATCACAGGAAACCAATTAATTCTGCCACAGATGAACCTATGAATAATAATGTAGCTGAAACATTATATTAAATTGCCAGGAGGAAACAATTTACACATCAGTGCACAGGTGAATTATTTGCACTTTGGTTGTACCAGCACATGTTTGAGCACCACAATCAAATGTCGAAAGCTCAAATTTGGAAATTTCCCCCCCAGAAAAAAGTTAATTATCCAAGCAGATTGTTAACTGAGGGTCTGTTGTAAATGTTATTTTCTTCTCCTACTGGCCAATATCATCCATGGGAGTCTTATGTGGTGTGTTGGACAAGTATTAGATTTGTGTCCTGAAAGTATCAATATACACAGCATAAGGGAAAGTTATGCAATTTTCCCCATCATTAGAATAAGTCCATTTAATGCTTATTTGAAACAAACATAATTGTTGCACCATGGCACAGGATCAGCAGCAGACTGAGACTTGGCCTTCATGACTTGTCCTCCAATATGTGGCAGGTTCTGCTTCTCCCTGAACTTGTACAGGGACCAGTACTCTTTATTGCCCTTATTATTGGCACTCCTCAAGAAGTTCCTCTTATTATTGGAGGTTTCCCTGCAGGGCCTCACTTGCTGCTTCTGGTCATAACACACTATGATGTTTTCCATGTGGCCATTTTGATTGCAGCAATTGTCTGTGAAATACTTCAGTGGACTGCGCTTGAAAGTGATCTTGTCTTGGACTGCTGGGACATTCACCACAGTGCCTGCATGGTCATAAATGGCCCCCCTGGGAACAGGGTAGCACACCTTGGGCATCTTGGCTGATGGTTTTGGTGGGTGCTGATGGTACACTGGTGGTGCTTGGAACACTGGTGCTGGGTACATGTAGGGCACTTGGACAGGATACCTATATGTATGAGGATAGAAACCACACTGTTTCATACATTCAGTATATATGCACAGTAAAATGTTGATACCAAATGAATGATTTGAGCCAACAGATGGTACCTTGCAATTTGACCCAAATCCATTGCCTGACTATAGCATCAAATTGCAAGTTGACCCAAATCCATTGCCGGACTATAGCGTCAAATTGCAATTTGACCCAAATCCGTTGCCGGACTATAGCGTCAAATTGCAATGTGGTCAAATTGCAAGAGACACTTTGTAAAATTGAGATATATCAGCACAAAAATGCAAAAAAGTGGCCAAAGCAGGTTTTGAATTCTGGGGCAGAGGTCAAATTGCAAGTCAGCCTCTCTGCAAATTCAACCGTCAAATTGCGGGATGGTAAAATTGCAAAGTACCACCTGTACTTTGTTATACAATACAGTTCTTTTTCAAATTAACCAAATTTTTTTCAAGCTGGAAATAATGATCTATGGCTCTTTTAAAAACCCCATTCAAAATTAAATAGCATTTTTAGTACATATTTGATAGCATTGCTTCAGTTGTCTCAAGTTCAGGGATGACCTTGAAACCTTCTTTTGTCAAATTTTGAATCATGCTTTCATGTTGGTAATTCAAATGCAGTTCTTTTAAACACATTATAGATGAGGGTTCTTCATCAGTAATTGGTAGCAATTGGCACATTTTCAATGGATTTGTTCCCTCAATGAAATAATATGTAAAATTTTAAATTTACTGAGTTTTCAGAGAATATTCACAACAGTGTGAATGTTGAAATTCTGCAGCAGTGATATTTTTCAACATAGATGAGTGCAAAAAAAGATGAAAAAATAAATGAGTATTTTTTATCTGCATTTCTTTAAAATGCCTTCTGTGGGACTATGGAACCCAAAAAATTCATGTTTACATTAAACCTTTTTTGTTTGTTTGTTGTATTGTGATGAGATAATTATAGTAAACTAAAATAAGCATTTATGGATGTTTGTCATGATGAGACAAAAATAACTGAATGATGATGGAAACTTATTGTACCTTGGTGGTGGGGGTGCAGGGGCAAAAGTGGCACTTTCTGTGGTCACCAATTCCTCTGTGCTGCTCACAGGCAAATGTTTGTGTTTCCTTCTTCCCCTTTGACGTGGCTTGTGTTTTGAAGGCCCTGTAAATGTCAGAAAATCTCAATACAAATTCTATGAAAATGTTTTTAAAAAAATGCAGCTTACATTTGGGCTTCTTCTTCTTCCTCTTCTTGGTCACTGGTTCAGTTGTGGGCAAGTAGCTGCCATTTTCCCCCTCTGTGGATTCAGTTGTCTGAGCCCTGTCTTCTTCTGTGGTGGTTTCATCCTCAGAAATAAGTTTCTCTGATGGGGGAGTGGTTTTGATTGTAGATGTTGATGAGGCCCTGGTGGTGGTGGTTCTGGTGGTAGTGGTGCTGGTGCTGGTGCTGGTGGTAGTGGTGGTGGTGGCAGTGCTGGAACTGCTGGTAGTGCTTCTAGGGATGGTTGATGTACTGGAAGATGAGGATGCAGTAGTTGGGATGTCTTCCAAGAAGTAAGCTGGTGCCTTTGTGCCATCCTGAGGTGCAGCACCATCAGTTATAGTCTCAGTCTGATTCACCATTGATGGAAAGTCCTCCAGCACATTTGGCCAATGATTCTGTTGTCCAGCTCCTGGAGACCTTTGCTCTGCTGAACATAAACCCTGGAATGGGTTATGAGATGGAATAGGAACCACAGCACCAAGTGGGGTTTTATACATGTGAGGTTCAGGCTGTTGCACTAGGACCACATGGGCATTTTGCTGCTGAGGATGAAATTCAGAGAAAGACACCACATTTGGTGCTGGCCCAAACTCTGATGGTTTTCCTGCTGCTGCTGCTGCTGCCAAAGGCACCCCACCAACAGCAGGTACCAATGACTCCCTTTTGCCAGTCTGCTGCTGGTTGGACAAACAGTGAGGACACATGTACTGTGGGGCCTTATCTGCTCTCTGCTGATGCTGGGGCAGTGTGTCTGAAAATGGCTTCTTTGAAATGGGCAATGGTACAGATGGGATGGAGTACATAGGGTGCATGAGAACTTGGGCTTCTCCCAGGTCCCAGAAAGGTGGTGGTGCATGTGCTAAGTGATTCTTCACCACACTACCACCCTCAAATGGCCATGTTGGTTTGACACTGGATGTTGTTGTGCTGGGGGTTGGTGATGTGGTTGTTGATGGTGATGTCTTGGTGGAAGTGGTTGTTGGTGATGTCTTGGTGGAAGTGCTTGTTGTACTGGCAGCAGTACTAGTACTGGTACTGCTGTGTCTATCTGTAGGTTCTCTGGTAGTAGTTGATGTGGCAGTAGTTCTTGGGGATGATGTCTTGCTGGTTTTAGTGGTGGATGACTCAGAATTAGTCACTGTACAAGAGGTACTCTCAGTGCTGATGGCACCATCAGGAGTTGTGTGCAGTGGTGCTGGTGATGAAGTGAAAATGGTCTCAAACAGACAAGAGGTTGATGTGCACACCTTGTCTGAATGAGTAGATGACTGGTGATAACCAGTGCTTGGATGTGCAGAGCTGTGATCCAGCTGCCTTTTGCCAAATGCCTTCCTGAATTTCCTGGATTTTGCAAAGGGTCTACCTGATTGGAAATATAGTCTTTCAGCACTACCTGATGGATGGTCCTGGTTGTCCATGGTCTCAATGTGCTTCAACCATCCATGGTTCCTGCTGTCATCCACAGGCTTGTGGATCAGTCTCATCTGTGTTGATGGCAACACTGTGTACTTGGGCCTGCTTATGATTGACACTCTGTTGCACCTCACTATTTAAAAATGAGAATATTACTGTTTTTTTTTCAGGGAAAGGAAAATTGCAACATAATGACTGTTACCATCTCTGGAAACATCAACATTTGGTGCCTCACTGGTCACACTTGACTCAAGCAGGTAGTCAACCTTGTCACCCAGGCTCCATGTGTCAGAAATTGCTGCTCTGGCACCATTTCTTTTTGCACCTCCATCATGAACATTATCCTTGTCAAATTTTGAAGAATTCTTCAAATGAAGAAAAGCTCTTTCTCCAATATTTTCAAAGTAATCTGCCAGCTGCTTCCACAGGGGCTGCTTGGGGACACCAGTGATGGTACCATCAGAAAGAATTGCAGCTGTGGTACCTTTTACAACACTTCTTGTTGTCAACAGGTCAATTTTTGGAGGTATGGACACCAGTTTTGCATACAGATCATTCTTACTCTCCACTTCAGGGAGATCCACAGCAATGCTATTTGATTGCAGGTACTTTCTGATTATGTCATCCACTGTCAGACCATCTGTCTTGGGTTTCATTGTATTAGTGGGTACCTTATTGTTGAAAGGGAAAGTATTTTTTGCCAGACTGGTTTGCTTTGTTGAAGAAGAGGTGGGTGTACTTGCAGTGGTGGTGGTGGTGGTGGTGGTAGTGGTAGTAGTAGGAGTAGTAGTACTACTAGTACTAGTAGTGGTTGTGGGGGTTGTAGAGGTGGTGCTTGTGATCTCATTGGGTGGTTCTTTCTCTGTCTGCACTTCTGGAATAGGTTCCTTGATCTTGAAAACCAGTTTGGCAGTTATCCTGAGTGCTTCCCTTGCAGTTGTGGTCATCCTAGGTGGCCTTGTGGGTGGTTCAGTGGTCAACATGTCTGATGGTAAGTTAACCACAACAGAGGGGTACTTCATAGCTGGCTTCTTATTATTTGGCAATTCTCTGCTGGGCTCTTCTGGCTCTGTCACTGCATAAGCTGTGGAAGTCCTGTACTCATGTGGGTTGGTGTAGAATGACTCATACAAGACTTCCTTGGGTAATGTTTGAGGGTCATAGAGGTCATGGTCAACTGTATATGTAAAGAGGAACATTACTCAGGTATGTGCAATGACATGATTTGATATATCCCGAGTGGGGAAATTGGCGCACACTGGGGATTTGTTTGTAATTCTACACAGTGACCCTGCAGTGCACCTGAAGTGTACCAAAGTTCTTCTGTTGCACATGCATATCCCTAATGTGCACCAATTGTGTGTTCACACCAGGATTACTCAGGGTCACATTTGTGAACAAATAAGTTACACCAAGGTTACATAGTTGGTGCATTTGTGTGATGCTCCTGTTATGTCACATTTGTGCACCAAGCGTAACCCTGGAATGGTAGCAAAATTTCCTCTACAAGATTGCACACTTGTAACCTCAGAATATCCCATATGCTCCAGTTGTGACCCTGGTGTGCACCTACTGTGGGGTCACAGCAAGAATAGCTCCCCACTCAGGATGGTCTCACCTCTGAAGACTTTCTTGTGATTTGCAAGTACATTCAGGTTCATCCTAGTGTAAGGTAGGTCCCTGCCTTTCTGCACAAAGGGATTGTCCTCATAATAGTCTGCAGGAGGGTCATCCATAAGGGGTCTTTCTGGGCTATCCCCAAGCAGCCCAAGCATTTCCCCCCAGCCTTCACTCCTTTCTTCCCTGGGGGACAACATCAAGTCTGGCCTTTCTGAAATCTCCCTAGCTTTCCTTTTCCTCAGGAAAGTATTGCTATAGGTGGCAGCACTGGTCACTGATGGCTCTCTCCAACCAATGACTCTCACTATGCTGGGCACAGGTGCACCTGCTGCTGATGGAGACTGTGGACTTTGGTCACTGTCCCTGCGCACTCTGCCTCTCTTATTCCTGTTGGGCTGTCTCCATGCCCTGAGGAACTGTGGGTCTAAAAACAATGAAAACACATGGAATTACATGTGTTAAAAGTACATATATGCAGGAAAATATCATTACAAAAAAACTTGTTTACAAAATTGTTCAGTAAAATAAACTTTTTTCCAAGTCCTGGCAGAAATCCTATCCAGTAAATCTTATAAAAATCTTGTTACAACAAACTCCCCAATTTCATACAACACACTTTTTTCTTAAAGGAAAAGGTTGTAATTTTCTTAATGAAGGCAGACATAGCCTCAAAATTTCCCATTGACAAAGTGACTGTGACTGGTTCCTGGGAAATACATAGAAGGTGGAATCAAGAAATTTCCACCTGAACATCATCTCTTTCAAAAATGGGTTCCTGAGTTAGGAAAAATGTGGGTTTAGATGAAAAAAAAATGACCAAGCAAAAGTCATGTTCAAAAGGGGTTTGGATGCTTGAGAAACCCAACTGATGCCTTTAACAACTGTAAGCTTTTTTGCAACCATCATCCACCCTTACAAAAATCTGTGCTGAAAAAAAAACTTGCCTTGAAAAACTAAAAGTCCACAAAAAGTGTTAGCATTCACCTATTATTCACTGTAAATGTTTACAGTTTTTCAAGCATGGAAAAACATCTGAAAAGGCCACAAAAATAAGACCTTTAAAAAGTAAAGGTTTAATTTAAAGCAATCTTCCCAGTCAAAAATTTTGAAAATCTCATTATAACAAATTATTCATTACAACAAAATCTTTCTGAAGTCCCCACTGCAAGTTTGTTGCAATGAGATTTTACTGTATATGCAGTACAATATTTGTTAAAGCTGGAAATGATTATACCTGACCATGGGTCATGCTTGGACAACAGCATCTCATAAGCATGGTCCTGCATTCCAATGTGCATGGGTGACCCATCACCTGCATGCATTTTCAAGTTCATCATGTACAACACAACACAGAGCCATAAAGACTGCTGGTAATGACACTTTCCCATCCTTGATGAATGGGATAAACATAACCCTGTGATGAAGAATAAAAAGGCATTAAACTTGAGTTTCAATCCACCATTAGCATTATATTACCATGATACTGACTGCTGTGGGATGTAAACATGGAGGGAATGTATTTATCACCAAAAAGGATCATAATCTTCCTCAGACAATAAGGGATCCAGCTGTTCCTCAGAATATGCCAAGTTCAAAAGAGGACCAGAGTCTGAATACTTTTCATTTGGAGATGGTGTCATCATGGCATTATTATTGTTGCCAGCAGGAGGGTCTGTGTCATTGCTGCTCTTCACTTTGCTGCAAGGAGTGAAGAATTGAATCAAGCAGGCCTGAGGTTGAGGAGGAGTTGGCAAGATGGCAGCACTGCTGGTGGTTGTAGAGTTGAAAGTGCTGCCTTTGTCCCTTTTAGTGTGCCTCTTATTGGTCTGGATTAGTGGGGAGTACTTTTTGTGGAAGGCTTTGTACTTGGCAAGTTTTTTGAGAGCCAAGCGCTGTTTCCTGATTTTCTTGTGCAAGTACCTGATGTACTTTTCTATGTGTTGCCAGAGTTCTTGCTCTGGGTCATCTGCTGTGATGGTGGCAGCAGCAGCAGCAGGTGGGTTCTTTTCTGCAGGCTTCTGCTGCTGCATGGTCTCCAGGTATTCCACCAGCTTCTTCCACAATGGTTCCTCATCAGGGACAGATGAGTGCACCTATTTATGGTAATTTCACAGTCAACAACTTTGGATATGCTACCATAAACCCATGTTCTGCTTATTTTGGAACATTAATCTGAAGTTAGTAAATGCATTTGTACTCAAAACTGGAATGTATTTCAGTTGATTTCTAAATTATGGTACAGTACTGTACTTCATCTCCTTATTATAGTTTTTTTTTAACTGATCCCAGCAAATAATTTGGGAGTTGGCTGCTGCTGGGGAGTTGAACCTCCATAACTTGAACCTTGCTAAGTCAAATACCGCTCCAAGTCAAAATTTTCCAGGTCCCCATATCTGAATCCCCTTTAAAAACCTCCATAAGTGGAAGGATTTTCCCCTCAAACCTCAATAATTCAAATTTTCTGTGGCCTGTTGGCTATTATTTCCTTGACACAAGAAAGAAAAAATCAATAAAGACATAAATTGATGTATTTTAAAAGGAAGCAAAAGACTTAATTGGGCAAATGAACCCCTCCTTCCAAGTTCAGCATCCTTTCAACTCACTTAAGGAGCAATTTAAAGCCCAGAATAACACCATTTACAAAAGGTTGGAATATTTTTCAATGTTTCTCAGAACAGAAGAATTGTTGCTCAAACCTCTATAATTCAAAACTTCACTAAATCAAATTTGTTTGCTGGTCCCTTGAAATTTGACTTGGAAAGTTTCAAATATCTAGGTGTTCATGTTTTAGCTATTATCAAGTTAGGAGACAACTCCCTATAGGAAAATCCAACTCCCAAAAACTATATATGGAGTTAGGGCTAAGTAACTACCAAGCAACTAAAATCCAGTTAACCTCAACTCTGAAAATCAGGGAGATGCACCCATTTGTGTATCAACTAGTATTCCAACTAGCTGCTGTTAGTGGGGTGCTTGGGAGTTAGCTTGGGAGTTAGCTTGAGAGTTAGCTTGGGAGTTAGCTTGGGAGTTAGCTTGGGAGTTAGCACCAACTGGATGCTAGCTAGCAACTCAGGAGCTGCAGTCAGCTGGGTGTATATATAATGCTTGCAGCACAGGTGTTAGCAAAAATTAAAGAAGGGTGCTAGTGCCAAGTGAATATTAGCTAGCAACTCAGGGGCTGCAATGAACAAAAATTGAGGTATATTTGGAGATTTGAATGGTATTTCCCAATAATTCTGAGAGTTGGTATATAGGACTTTCTCATTGTTTCAAGAAATGCTCAAAGATGCCTCTTTTCACACTATTTAAAGTAACCATGAAAATATTATGAACAAATGAATGAAAGGATGAATACTGATGGAATGATGACTCACTTGATGGGGACTTATAGAGTGCCATATCTCATTCTTGACATCTTCATCCAGCACTGGTGCATTTTTCTTGAGTATTATGCGCTCTGCTCTGTGGACATACCTCTTGGAGCCCTTCATCTTTGGGGCTTGCATCACTGGTATCACTTCCTGCATGGCATCCTTGTCTTCAACTCCAATAGGACCCCTGCCTTCCATTTATAATAGTGGAGTTCATGAGTTTGTGCTTCTCTTTTCAGAGTTTTTTTTCTATCCTCTGAACATATTCTAGCAAGACTTATACTCCTTTTCTCTGCTTTTTGATCTCCTTTTCATACAAAAATATCAGATTACATGTGGTTTTGTTCTGCACTGTTGTTTTCTACAACTTGAAGTTGAGGGTAAAAATGTTTAAAAACATTTTGTGGGACTTCTAATTTTTTATAAAAAGGAGAACCAATTAAATACATCAGCATTGAAGTCTGAACAAAAATGAGACTTGACTTGAGGAAATTCTGACATCAAGACACTCTTGATGCTCCAATTATGTCTGTATCTTATTGGGGTCTCACTGTATATAGCCATATTTATTGGAGGAACCTTTTTAGGTGTGTCTGCCACTGCCATGAAAAGAAAACTTATGTAATTTCAAAAAGGCCAACATTTCCTTTTTTTTAACAATTTGATGAATTTTATTGCAATACACATGAGCCAACTTGTGTAAAATGTCTTTTGTATCTATTTACAAGGATGTCTTACAATGCATTTTTATAGCAAAATGTTAGTGTCCCATCTTACACAGCATGAATGTATCACTTCATGAACAAATATATTCAAAAATTTGCTCACCATTGGGTTTAATGCAAGGGTAGATTGCATCAATATACTGTGTTCCATTCACAAAGGAAATGGAAATACAGAGTAAATACAGGATGACACACTTCATAACTGTGGCAAAGATTCACATGAAGTATTTGATCCCAGTGCTGCTGGTTGTGTTATTGCTGTCTGTGAAGGTTTTGGATATGAGTGTCATATGTGTTATGGTGGTGGTGTCTCAACAATGGAGTGATGACACTGATGAGAACCAACTATGCATACTTTGTCTCTCTTGTATATTTCCAGCAGTCTTGAAGCAATATGTCAAACACTGGACCATTCATTTTTCTCATCATCAGGATTGGAAAGGTTATTGGCATAAGTTGGAGCTTTGATGAGGTCATTGAAAGAGTCCTTTATTGTGGTTGGGAGACTGTTATTGTGAATGGTTGGAACCAAGTGCTCTTCACTCTTGATTTTCCTCAGCCAATGCTTCAGCATCTCAACATTCTTGGGCCTATGACCTGTTGAATAAGAGTCTTCATCAGCAGAATCCATGTGTTGCTGCTGGAAGGAGAATCCAGAGGGCAGCACCAGCTCCTGTTGCTTCTTGGTTGCCCTTTCTACTCTGACATTGTCCTGATGATGATGATTCATCTTTGCCTTTTGCACCAAGAAGTTGAGAGCTTTCTTGGCCTGGTCCTCAAAGTGTCTGGCCACAGAGTCCAAAGGCACAGGTTTCTTTCCACTCACCAACACCAGAATTTGTTTGTCCTCCAGGTTGTCTATCTTTGACTTGAGCACTTTATTCAGGGACTTTTCCCAGTCTTCTTCTTTTGCATGAGGTTCTGGTCCAGGCATGACATATTGCTCTGATGTAAGGTAGGCTTCCCTGGAGTCCCTGGGTTGAATGACTTTGAGATCATCATCAGAAGAAAGGCTGGGGCTTTTCTCAGAAGCTTTGGCATCAGTGTCCAGCAGATCCACTTTCAAGTCAAGAAATAAGTCAGCTGAGGTCTCTGCTGCTGTTCTTCTGTCACCTTTTCTGAATGGCACTCTACTGTCTGAGTCATTCTCAAAGGCAATTGCTGCAAATGATGATGGTGATGATGTGGACATTAATGTGTCCACATCAAGTGTCTGGTCCAAAAAGTCATGGATGACTTCCATCCCCCTGCTGGTTTCATGTTGGGATGAAGGTGGACTGCTGGGCAAGTAAAGACCTTCATTATTGGGGATCTCCAATTCAAGATAGTCAGGCATGAAGTTGCCAGCATTGAGTGTGTTCATCATGTGCAAGGGTTTCATCATCCTATCCAGATGAGGTTTAGGGGTGATTGGTGCCTGTATGGTAGAGTCTGTATTACTGAATAAGGCAACCTTTTTTGAGTACTCCTCTGATGATGGCAACACTGTTTGTGCTGGAAAAGGATGAGGAATGGTTTCCATGTTACTTGCTTGTATCTTGTGCAGTTTGTAGTTCCCAATGCTTCTCCAAACATCATCCATGATGGGACTGTCATCATGGTTGCTGTTATTCTTGTGAATGACAAAGTCAGTTGTAATGTCCTTGACAGCAGCAGCAGCAGCAGCAGAGTCCTGCAGCATGATTTCCAAACCAGGGGCTGGTGTTGTATGCTCTTCAATGTGGGTGAAGAATCTTTCAAAATGGCTTCCCAAGGGCTTGAATCTTTGGGCCATCAAAGGAGGTTCCAAGAATTTCCTGGAAGGAGAAGTTTTGAAAGGTGCTGGTGATGGTGATGACTTGATGTGATTGCTGATGATGATGGAGGTGCTGGTGGATGATGCTGGTGCCCTGGTGTAATGGAATGTGGGTGGGTCCATTTTGACTCTTGTCTTGGGCCTGTTTTTCTTATTCTTGGGCAGTCTGGTATGAATAATGTTTACTGCTGCTGGCTGCTGATGTGTAAAGTACTGCTCCTGTTGCTGGGTCACTTGAGGGATGACAGGTTCCTTTGGTTTCACTTCCAGAAAGTGTGTGCTGGTGGTTGCTGATGGTTTGCTGGTCTTCTTATTATTGGCAATGGTAGACACTACCATCCCTGCTGATGATGGCTTGGTCACCATCACCATTCTTGATGTACTGGAGTGAGTTGTTGGCTTATTTGCTTTAGGATGGTGCTGGGCTAGTGTGTGCTGCAGCTGTAGATCATCATCATCATGATGATGTATTTTCAAAGGGGTAGATGCCTTCTTGGTGGTGGATGAATAAGTCCTTGATGTGGCCCACTTGTTGTTGTTGTTGTTGTTGTGTGTCTGATGATGATGAGTACCTGGGAAAGCTTGGACTGCTGCCAAAGCATTGTGGATTTCCTTTGGGAGTTGCAAAAGCCCAGTAGACTCCAGGTTAAACTCAGTTTCAGCATCATCCAGAAGCAAGATGGATGCCTTTGGTCCCTTTTCCACCACCTGACTCTTTATGAGCAGAAAATGAGTCTTTTTCACATACTTCTCAGGCTCAGTTTGGTTCACCTGCAGCTGGGATGCTGGGCTTCTGATGTTTCTCACTGACTTCTTATTATTATTGGTGCTGATGAGGGCATCTGAGTGGGACAAAAACACTTTCATATAAGTCTTGAAAGTTGCTTTTCTATATAATGTACCAAACAAAAAAAAATCATCACTGACCTGATGCTGGTGAGGTTTGATTTTGAGGCACAGGTTTTGCAGATGATGAAAAAGAAGCATCACTGCTGCTGCTGAGTATGACAGTTGGGCATTGCAAAATGATGAAGACACTGCTCAGAGATGCCACTTTTAGCAGAAGCATTTTCACAAGGATATCATGGGCAGCACTCAGGTTCAGCATGATGTGGTGTGACATGTTCAGCAGCAGGAAGTTGCCAGTGTGCAGAATGTGTTTGCAGTAATTCTTTTTGATCAAGGAATAACACTGAGGAGAGTTTGAGAGAAAAAAAAAGGAGGAAGGAAAGAAAAAAGAAACACTGCTCTCACATCATGCACACTACATTGAGCTAAAATTTGGCACTGAAGCAGAAAAGTCTGCAGCTGTGGGGGGAAACAGTTGTTAGTGCACTTATCAACAGTTTCCCAGGGTGTGTAAATTCATCAGGAATGCCTCATGATTGTGAGCAACACAGTAATGGACCAGAACATTTGGCAGAAGGGATGCATGGTTCATTTCATGCTTGGGGGAAAAAGCAAAAAAAAAGAGGTGTCTCATCCTTCTCTTCCCTGAACATAATTGTTGACTGATGCTCAACAACTGTAAGATTTCTTTGGAACATCCAGCCTTATATCAAATTGTACAGGAATTGCTTAGAAAAACTCTGAAGTACAAAAAAGTGACAGTGTTCACATATTATTCTGAGTAAATGTTTGTTATAGACATTTGCATTGTTTTACTCGTCAATAAGTTTGTACCTTTTAGTACACTTTTCCGTGGTTTCCCTTCTAAAACTTATTTACGTCCAAATTAAAATTTATTATAAGGATGAGTTATATTAAAACTTTTAGAAGTTTTTGTTTAATAGCAGTCCAAAAATTTTTTCTGAGTTCCCCACAAGTTTTTACTGCATAACCTAAATGGTATTCAAGACACATTGTAAAAAAAAAAATGTTTAGCATAGCAGAAACTTTTTCCAAATCCCAAAAGGACTTTTGGTAACAATAGTTTACTTCAGCAATGATTTTTTAAAGGCTCTTCCCATAGTCTCATTACTTATCTGGAAAAGCAAGATCCTGCATATTTATTGCCTCAACTCAAACATATTTTTTTCCAAAATTTGGGATCCAATTTTACTGGACTTAGATTTTTTTTAAACATTCAGCATTTAATTTCTACATTTTCAAAAATTTGGGCAGATGCATATCAATATCACAAAGGCATCATACTTTTATACAGCACACAAGTTCAATACTAATTCTCAAAAGGTCCATCAAGAATTTGACATCTGAAAACTGGATGTACAGTGGCCCCCCCTCCTAACAGACCTCCCGTGTAAGGGATTTTTGCCAAACAGACCAGCTTTGTAATTGAATTTGTGTAAAGGACTTTTTGTCTAACAGACTTGTCCCTTGCACAAATCAAGTCCGTTAGACGGGGGTTGACTGTACATCCTACATATATGAAAGAAATAATTTTTATAATGGGTTTCAGGATTTTACAATTTAAACAATGGGCTTCAGGATTTTATTCTATTTTTAGACTTCCATCATCAAAATTTGTAAGATTCAAAATTCACAAGTAAAAATCCAATTTTTGTACTCTTGTGTCATGTATGCAATCAATAATATGTACAGCACCAAAAACATTTTGGGCTCTCCATAATCAAAGAAATACTGTACACATATTTTTCCCAATAGAAACTGTTGCAGCATAAGTCACCTCATTTGTCAGCATAATGCAGATCTAAATTAATTGGGCAAATAAATTGAATAAACAGAATGGCAAATAATCAGAATGATATTTACAATGATGTAGTTTCTTTCTGCATGTATATTTTGTCAACAAAAATTCCACATGTTCCTCATCATTCAAACAGATGGAAAACCACTGTATGGTGAATGTATCAATTTGGAAGGCCCCCTTCTCTTCTTCTTCTCCATGGCCTTGAGGTGCTGTTGAACAATTTGTTGCATTTGGGCAAATTGCACAGGGTGCATCATGGGTGGCATGGGCATCATCATGGGTCCTGGGGGCCTGAACTGGCCCTGCTGCTGGGACCTGAGGAGTCTTTGGTCAGGCCAAGGCATTGGCATGCCCATGAAACCTGGGGGCATCCCTGGCATTGCCATTGGAATGGGGTATCCCTGAAACATGCAACATGGATGACACATAACCATTACATATTCTTCAAAAGAAATGAACAATTTTCAAGAATTTCTCACTGGAAATGGAGGTGGCATCATGGATCTCAAAGGGCTGTGTCTGCTGCTTCCCTGCAAAACAGATGAAAAAAAGATTGTATGTGGGGGGTCCATATGATGCATAAAAGCCCCTAACTCTTCAAAGATGACAATTTTTCTTCCATGCAATAACATGATCACGCTTCATTTGTAATTTCAAAACAATTCGAGGGATACAAAGAGTTGAATTTACATATATATATATATATACACATATATACAGTAAAATCTTGTTACAACAAATACCATTACATAAAATTTTCTTCACAATAAACTACAGTATTTTCAAGTCCCTGCAGAAATCCTATAAATGTTATACAAATCTTGTTACAACAAACTCTCCAATTCCAGGGCAACAAAATTGAAACAGCAACATATGCTGTGATTTTTCCAACAAAAAATCCTCAATGAACACAGGGACAGCAGTCTCAAATTTCCCATTCAAAATTTGACTGACTGATTCTTGGAACATAACCCAACTTAACAACTGTAAGATTTTTTTGGAACATGCACCATTACAAATCTTTGCAGGGATTGCTCAGAAAAACTTCCAAATCCACAAAAAGTGGCAGTGTTCACATGTTAATCAGAGTAAATGTTTGTTGATGGCATATACATTTACAGTATTTTTGTTCCACAGCTTTTCAAACATAGAAAAACATCTGAAAAGGCCAAAAAGGAATGTCTAGAAGAAATGCAGGTTTAATTGAGAACAGTCTTCCCAGTCAATAATTTTTAAAATCTCATCATAAAAAAATTTAATTTTGTTATAATCAGATTTTTATTGTATTGTGCATTGTGTTATTGAATTCAGTGATCACCAGATATTCTCTGCAAGAACCAATGTGTGTGTGTGTGCAACAACTCAACAGTGCTGTAATTATGGTACATGAGGCAGATGGGTTAACAAATTGTTGGCCAGTAACCTTTTGGGGGGACTTGGCAGAACTGCCAGATGTATCAGGCTCCATGGGAGGAGGAGGCCCTTGGACCTTAGCAGGAGGTCTTTCCTTCTTCTTGAGGATGGGACTATTAGATGAGTCAGCAGACTTGTTGGCCTTATTTGCATTCTTGTTGTTGTTGTTGTTACTATTGACCTTTGGCAGGTTAGAGTATGTGGCCTGTGGCACCAGCACAGTCATGGGTGTCCTCCCAGGCAGCACACCAGGAAAGGGCATGCTGTAGCCCATGCCCACCTTGCCCCAGCCATTCAACCTGCCACCATGGAACCTAGAGTCCAGGAACATGGGCATGGCTCCTTGCTCAATAGTGGTGGTGGGGGCAGAGAACATGCCCATTATGTCTATGGGGGGAAAGACCATGCCTGGTACCATGGGTGTTGTGGGACCATTGGCACCAGGACCACCACTGGCACCAGGACCACCACCACCACCACCACTTCCAGATACACTAAAAGCTCCTGGGCCAGCAGTGGCACCTGCTGCTGCAGGGCCACCTGGGCCACTTGTCCCTCCTCCTGCAGCTCCTTCTGATGGGGCTGCACTCGGGGTGCAGAGTGGGAGGCTGTCATAGGGCTTGTCTGTGCAGATTGGGAGACAGGGGTCTTCTTTTTCACAGCAACTGCCTTTCCCTCTGGAACAAAAACCCAAAAATTATACACACATAAATTGAAGAAACAAATTTTTGCTCATTTAAGGCAAATGTTCAGGCCAAGAGTGATGAAAAATTTTCCATGCAAGGAGTAAACACATTCAATCATTTCCAGTAACACAAGGCATAGATGGCGCTCCATGTCAGCTTGAACAAGAAACCAAGAATCCAGCATCAAATTTGGTGAAAAAACTTTTTGAGAAAAAAGTAATTGCTCAAATGTTTTGCAAGTGTCTTGGAATAAAGTTATTTTGTGTGCCCAAACTTGAGGGAGAGTCTCACAAATTACTCTTGTCATCAATGACAAAATCACACTTTAAGCAAACCATTTTTGGCAACTTTAGAAGATCAGAACTTTTCATTTTTGTACAGGGTTGTCAGATTGGAGATATTTTCTGTGAGTTATTTCATTTCTTTGAGACTGCCAAAATAAAATTATGAAATGCATACCCTGGTATTTTCTTATAGTGATGCAGGCGAATTTTCAGTTTGAACAGCAATAAGAAAAATGATCAAATATTTATTTAAAAATAATGCTTTCTTCATAATTCATTCAATATTCTGTGAAACAGATGACAAAAATAAAATTCTAGTAATATTGTATTAAATTACTAAGTTTTCTGAAAAATGTCAACATTTTAGTTCATGTACCTTATTGGATAACTTTTGAACAAAAATATTTTAAAAACTAGGAGGAAAGAACACCTGCATTTTAAGGCTCAACTGAAAAAAAAAATCAATGTTTTAACTCAAGTTTGTGCAGGAATTGCTCATGAAAAAATTAAATCAATCTTCTATATTCATGTCAAGGTTTTTGAAAAAGTCCATATTTTGGAGCATGTACCCTTGAATCACTTTCAAACTGATAATTTTGATGAATAAAAGTGAAGATTTTCTAAATTTTTGGGCTCAACTGGGAAATAAAATTCAATGCTTTTTAAACTCAAGTTTGTGCAGCGAATGCTGATGAAAAAATTGCATCAATCTTTCATTCATACCCAGATTTCAGAAAATCTCAACATTTTGAAAAATAGCCATGAACAACATCTGAATTTTTAGTTGAAATACTGGAAAATAAACTTGAATACTTTTCACTCAGGTTTGTGCAGCAAATGCTGATACAATAAATCTGATCAAATCAATCTTTCATTCACACCAAGGTATCTGAAAATGTAAATATTTTGAAAACTGATGGTAGTGAAGAGGATCTGAATTTTCAGGCTATACTGAACAATAAAATTCAATGCTTTTCATTCAAAATTGTGCATGAATAAATGCTGATGAAAAAGAATGAAATCTTCATCAATTTCAAGATTTTCGATATAGAATAATTCAAGTGGGCATCTTATTACCAAGGAAGTGGGTATTATTTTATATTTTAAAATAAATATGAATGTGCATGAGTATAAAAATAGGGTAATTTTGTGCAAAAAAAAACAACAAAAAACAAGCAATAATTGGTCAATAAAAGGAACCTTTTGGCAGCATAAACGTCTTCCAGAGCAAAAGCCACGCTTTCCTCACTATCTCTTCCTTTTTCAGTGGAAATGTGCTTATTTCCAGAGCCATCTTCCTCTTCTCCACTCATAGTCAACTGCGTCACAGAGCTTTCAGTTGTGCACTGCTGCCATTCTTCCATATTCCCAGCATCCTTGGCTCCATAATAGTTCCTATGTTGCTTCTTATCATTATTATTCTGCTCCTTCCTCCTCCTCTTCTTCTTCTTCTTGTTCTTCCTTTTCTTCTTCTTGTTGGAATTGCTTTTCCGCTCATTTCGTTTTTTATTACTATCTTCCCCGTCTCCGTGTTGTCTCTCGAAATCCACGTCAATGTCGGAGAATTCCCGAAACACGCGTTCCGTTGACGTCTTCTCCGCCTCTGCTGCTTGGCGCTTGGATACGGTGTCCTTTTTGGGCTCTGGGCCGGGTTTCGGGTTCTTTTTGGGTTTGCCCAGGACCTGGAGCTTTATGGGACCTTCCGGGGCTCGCTTCTGGTTGTTCTTCTTGAGCCCGATGAGCGTCGCGTTGGTCTTGGCTGGAGCTGGACCCAAGAGCAAGTCATTGTTTTCTGCGGAGAAAAAAGAAAAAAAAAATCACAGAGAAACATTTTTTTTTTTTATAAGAAAATTCGGAAATAATTTATATCGAGGTACTGAACGTTACTTCAAAGAAAAAAATTGATTGCTTTTCCTGTAGAAAAGAAATTGAAAGAGAGTGAAAATTCATTCAAATATTAACAAAACGAAAATTTTAAAAATAAATCGATTCATAAATTCATAATTAATTGTTTTCTGAGGAGAACAATTATTTAAAAAAAAAGAGGAAAGAAAATTTGGAAAGGTAATGTAAATTATTTGGACAACAATTAAGTTCAATTGAATGATTTTCTGTAAAGAAAATAATACATATGAAAAGACAGTGGAAATTCATTAAAAAAAAACTAAAATCTAAAAATAAATGTAAGTCCTTTGACAATCTATTTATCAATTTTGCATGTTTTTCCTGTAAAGAACATTTGACAAGACAGTGTAAAATATCAAAAAAATAATATCAGAAAACTCTCATGAGCCATTTTGGTCACTCCTTTTTTTCTGACATTATTTGAAAACTTTTCAAATTTTAAAAATTGTACACTGAATTGTTTTATTGTCAAGAGTGGAAAGAATAACTAGAGATTAATCAACCAATCCATAAAACCTTTCCTAAAAATGAATGAACATGTGATAGAAAATGAACTTGCACAGAAATCCTCCCGAAATAATCCGAATAATAATTTTAGTTTATCAAAGAGACCCCGACATACGGACGATTCGAATTAAATACACGTGAAACTCAAAACAATTCTATCCAGACATTTAGACAGTGACTTCAGATGAGGAAACCTTTCCAACATTTTCCAACAACTTTCTATAAAAATTAAAAAAAAATTCATACCTACTTTTTGATGAACAGGAGAATCAATTAAACATGTTTGCACTAGACTTGAGTCTATATGGGAAAACGTGATCCGACATGCGGACGCTTTCGATCGACAAGCATAAGGAGCAACTCCCAAGCATCAATTACGTCCGCATCTCGGGGCCACAGATTTCTAGCGAAAATATCAACGAAGCATTAATTTCTACAATTATCTTTCTCTGCCAAAAAAAAAACAAGTCTAAGACTCGAGACTCACTCTTTGTCGAGCACACGTGTGAGACGCAAAACAACAAGTGCAAGACGGCGATCACGGAAATCCGCACGAGGTCTTTGGTCCTCATGTTGTGCCACAAGGATGCTGAAGCACCTACTGCCACCACCGCAAAAAAAAAGGGGCCCCTCGGCGAAACGAACAGGATCCATGCTCCCCTCGTCTAATCAAAAAGGAAATTCCACATTTCAAACGCTGGATCATCGAAAAAAACAAACTAAGAATATATAAAATTTGACTGAGAACGATTTCCTCTTCAGCTCCGCCTTCCCGTGTTTCCGGCTCAAAGGCTTGACGGATTTCGACTTGATGTACAGCATGTCGAGCGACATCTAGACTGGAATGATACAAAAGCGGAACCTCGCGTTGAAAGAAAGAGACGCTAGATGACGGAAATACTGCCGTTCCAGCTTCATTCAACGTCGTTCAACAGCAAATTAAGGATATCATCCTTCAACCAAAAATAAAATTCTATCCGCAGAGGAAAAACATTTTTCAAAATCACGAGGAAAGGCGGGAAAAAGGTCTCCCTCCATTGGTAAAACACGATTTTTTTTCTCCTTCTGTTTTCTTTCAAAGATTCGGAAATGCAGCAATAACACAAACTCTTTTTTTTTTTCCACCGCCACCAATAAGATTTAACCATGAATGCAGACAGAAAAATAAACCAAAAATGGAAACAAACGCCTTCGTCAGAGGCATATTTGAGAGACAGAGGGAGAAAACAATAACTCATGTTGCTGATGGTGGGCCTCCGCATTTTTCCTTGTATGTGACTACGCCTCTTTGAATCAGGTCCGGAATTTCCACTGCCAACCATGGACCCAGCTGCGAAAATTGAATTTAATGAGAAACTCAACTTTTTATTTGTCATACAGTAATATCCCCACATAATGAAATCAGTCCAAAAATTGTACTACACAATTTTTGCAATATATTAAAATTATTCAATAATCCTGAAAATAATATGATCCCAACCCTGATATATTAATAACCTGAGATGATTGTTGCAAAAAATAAACAGCAGAATACAATTTGTTGCGCAAAATCCAAGAACCCAAATTCTCAGAAAACTCATTTTCTGAAGGCCTCCAAGGCTATTTTTTCATTGCTAAATCCTGTCGCTGTTTTTCATCCTTGGAGGACAGTTTTCCTGATTTCCAAATCTATCAAAAAACTTCACTACTGTTTAATCTCTCATGCGTGTCACTTGAGAATATTTGCAAATATTGTGTGTTTGAAGTACAACAACTTTAAAATAGGGTGAAGTTTCACCCCAGTTGTAGCCCAACCAAATTCTCTTGTTATATTTATTTATAAAAATCACATCCTATTTCAAAATCACTAATTCATTCCTAACACTGATGATAACTTACCCCTAAAGCCATGGCATGAGCAATGCCAAATTTTGGCACATTCCTGCCCCACAATGGCTTGAAATGGTCAGACAAACAGATCTTTCCTCCGCGGTACATTTTTGCTGTTTTCCCATCCAATTCAGGGATTGCAATTTCAGGGGCTGTAGCTGGATACGTCACTGGTATCTGCAAGAAAAAAAGACATTTATTTTTGAAAAAAGAAAAAAAAAACTTGCACATGAGATTTTTGCAGACTCACATCAAATTCCACGTCGAATTCATACTTGAGGAGCTCATGGACCAACCAACACTTGCCAAACCATCTGGTGCCTTCTGTGTTGGACTCCAACCTGAACCAGTCATTGTCCTCTTGTTTATTCTTTTCTACATACTGTAATGAAGAATTATTTAAATAAATTGATGCACAAGGACCAGAGAAACTCTTGTTGAAACATGAACACATTTCCAATTTGAAACTATAGTCTGTTGAAGAATGAGTTTTGTTCAGTCAAACAAGATTTCCTTTGAGATATAATTTGAAGAAAAAAAATTGGTAATCCTTCCCAGACACTCAGAAAAATCTTGTTCATTTCATTACAGTGGGACCCCAACATACAAAAATTTAACTTAGGGACACTTGAAACTAAAAAAAAAAGCTCCAACATCCAGACTTAGTTTCAAAAACACTTTTCCACCATTTCTCTAAAAATTGAAAAATTTCATTTTCAAAATTTGGATATCCCTTGAATTAACTGCACTATTTACACTCACAGAAATAAAAAATAAATTTCATTATAAATCAGCTCAAATGCATAATAAAAAACAGCCAAATTTTGCGCTTCCTTTTTACAAGTTTTTTCCATTATCAATAAATAGTATGGCAAGACTTATTCTTGTCATTTTGCTTCTTGAGCTCTTTTTGATGCCAAAGTATCAGATTTCTGCACAGTTATTTTCTGTACCTTGAAGTTGAGGAAACCAACTTTTATATCATTTTTGGGGACTTATTCATAATTTTTAATGTACAAGAGAACCAATTAAATATGTCTGCATTGAAGTCTGAGCAACATGCAGATATTCCAACATAAGGACAAGTACCAATTATGTCCACATCTCGGGGTCCCACTATAGTAAAAAAAAAAATCACCAATTTCTTCTTGATTTGAAGGAAAATAGTAATATGTTTAAACTCTTGCCAAGTTAAATTACAATACTTTACTATGATCTGATGGTCTTCAAAATTACTTCATGAATGGTTTGTAAAAATTAATGTCTAATAACCATGGGATGCACTTTCAAATCTCTCTTTCTTTCTCACATTTCAATCTTGGGACACCAAAAATGGAATTGAAATTCAGCAAAGGTTTTTCAAGAATACAGTTTCACAAAAACATGGAACACACCTTGATGAGACTAGTGTACTCTTCTTTCAGCCTTTGAACCCACTGCTCCTTATTCCGTGGCCCAGCACTGGTCTTGAGCAAAGGAATAGCACCTAAGGTCTTCTTTGTTCCTTCATCCACCATTTCTCAAAGTCACACACAAAAAGCCTGTATATTCAAAAAAAAAATCTTGACAAATAAACAAAAAAAAGAACAGAACACAAAATCTTCATACAAGTAATAAATGCATTATTGTAAAGAAACAGCAGTTGCACTTGAGAAGGACCATCAGAATATTTTCATTTGGAGTGGAACATCTTGAAAAAGTTACAAGAAGTAATCACATTTCCAAGTAGATGTCGCTTGCATCATCAACCAAATAATATCTACCCAAAACACAACCTCTCATTTTACATCATCCACACTTGAAAAAGGAAACACTGATGTTTCAAACAGAAAATGCTCATAAAATTTCAACTGGTTCAAGGATGTAGAACATTTCTTCGCGACTTTCAAATGACACCCTTGGAACCTGAGAGATTCCTTTGTTATGCTAAAAAAGCAAACAACATTGAGAAAATTGACCAGGAACTTCAAAAGATTATTTTTTGATAACATGAATTTGTGAAAGTCAAATCAATATTCAACTGTAAATCATATATAATAAATCACCTGTGACAATGCTTCAATGTGACAAGTGTAGAGCATTTTCAAAGTTGAAATGGCTGAAAATTCCGGTCAGACGATTTGTGTCATGGCATGAACTCAATCAAGTAAAATAACAGTGTTAAAAAATGAAATTTTAAAAATATTGACCAGCCTTCGTCTTCCATTTTAAATTCATAAAAAGAAAAACATCGTCAGGTCCATCTCAGAACAACAAAACTGCGTCCGCACAATTCCACAGAAGAAGAAAAAAATTGGCAAACAAGGCAACTTCTTCAAATGGACAACAAAGATTCGCAATTTGCTCCATTTTCTGACTCGAGCAGGTGCACCAACCACAGGACAGGTCCTCCCGAAAAAAAAACAAAAAACAGAAAATAACTAGGCTCAAAACCACCCGAAATATTCGCTGGGTTCGAAACAACCTTGCGTCATGAACCGGAGCAGGAAAACGGCGAAGGCGAGACACATCACAACGGCGTCCGTGTACGCCGACACAGAGGCGGCCGGCAAAAGCAGCAACGAAGACATGGCTTCTTCTTCACTACTGCCGCCGCCGCCGTGATCGTCCTCGTTCTCGTCAATCGACGACGACGACGATGGCTTCTCCGACTGCGCTCGCAGCATGTCCACGCAAATGCCGGTCATCAGGGCCAAGGTCGCCACAAATGCCGCCGACACAATCACATCCACTGACCGCTGTGGCCCGTGCCTCTAAAATGAATCATGAACGAAGAAAAACTCCATCTTTCAAATGTTCTTCGACGCGTCAATTAATCGTTAAAAAATGGTGTCGAATTTAAAGAAATGTCCCACTACAGGAACTAAATAATTTAACGCGATAATCGGGCGTAACCAAAATTAATTTTTCCCAAATTTAAAGAAAAGACTCAGTACAATGAACTAGATGCTATAATTAGGCGTAAAAAGTTTAATTTCCCTAAATGTAAATAAATGTGTCACTACGAAGAACTAGAAAAATGCAACGCGTTCCTTGGGCGTAAAAAAAATTATCCAAAATTGAAGAAAAGTCTCAGTACAAGGAACTACAAAAAATTTCACTTATGATTGGGCGTGAAATATTTATTTTTAATTTAAAGAGATGTCTCACTACAAGGAAATAAAAAATTTAACGCGTTAATTGGGCATAACCAAATTTATTTTTTTCAAATTCAAAGAAAAGTCTCAGTACAAGGAACTGGGAAAGCTTGTTAAAATTCGGCGAAAAAAATTAATTTCTCCAAATTGAAATAAATGTCTCACTACAAGGAATTAGAAAAATGTTACGCGTTAATTGGACGTAAAAAATTTATTCGTTCCAAATTTAAAGAAAAGTCTCAGTACAAGGAACTAGAAGAACTTGATGCTATGATAGGGCGTAAAAAAAATTAATTTCTCCAAATTTGAAATCAAATTTAAAATCACGAATTCAAGCTGAAAACTAAAAATAAAATCCTGTTATCAATTCTTATCACAGTCTTCAAGTGAATTCCTGAAAAGAATCCTCGAATTTGAAAATTTAACCTCAACGAAAAACGCGCTACGCATTACAAAAGTTCCACATAACGAAAGGTACGTTATGAAGGGACCCACTGCATTTCAAATTACTATACAGTACTGTACTGCAAGAAAGGGGTAAACGTGGACAATTTCAATTCCTGCAACTAGATGTCGCATCCGTAACAAACCTTCAAGTAAGACCTCACAGACAACCAGGTCTTGATATTGCGCACTTTGCTGAGTCTGAAATGAGGCAGATCCCAGCGTTTCGCTCGCCTCGCCGAAGTCAAGCAATGAAACATCTTCGCCAACATGTATCTCTAAAAAGAAAAAAAAAGAAGAAAGAAACCTTGATGCAATTGAAACTGAAAAAAAATTAAATGAATTAATCGATAAAAAATTAATTTCCCGTTTTACCCTTTTAAAGGTTCTCTCGGCCACGGACAACAGGAAGAAGGTGAGAAACGCCAAGATGAACCTCAAGCACATCAACATCACTACGGGACTATTTGCCAGCGCCCAAGACCTGTAATAAGAAAAAAATAAAAAATAAATTTTGTGCCAATCCTCTGCAATTTGTTTTGCAGGAAATTTCCGGAGTACCAGAGATTTGAGTTTTTTTTTCGAACGCAAAAATCACGTTTGACA